ATAATGTTTAATATTAAATGTGACCTTAATTTATTAAAATAATATTTTAGCTGAATGTTTAAACATTAAAGTAAAATCAAACAAGAAATTAGCTGCTCCAAAGTGAAATTTAAATAAGTAAATTACTTAACCGGTTAACTAAACATTTATTATGATTCATTTAATTACGTTTGAAAAGAAAAATAGTTAGGATTTATTAAAAAAAAGTAAATACATGTATTTAAAACTAAGATTTTAACTTATCATATGTATGTAGGCAATCCAAAAATTCACAACGTAGTGGGGTTGCCTAAATAAATTATTTTACTCGGTTGCGCCATCTATCCAAGTAGGGCTGAACTAAACTAAAGCATCTTAGTGTTTCAACCAATTTAAGTCAGCCCTACTTGGATAGATGGCGCAACCAAGTAAAATAATTTATTTTTCTGTAAATTATTTACATTTCATCGTAATATTTATGATATTTCGTATATAGTTTTAAGACGAAGATACGTTTTTACAACTAATGATTCCTATAATTAATTAATTGGTGATATTGGGGAAATTTATAAAATTGGCGAATGCGCCGGGATTAATTTTGTAAACTTACACCAAAATTGGCGAATGCGCCAGGATTAATTTTCCTTTTTAATACACATTATATTAAATGTGACCTTAATTTTTTTAAATAATATTCTTAGCTGAATGTTTAAACATTAAAGTAAAATCAAACAAGAAATTAGCTGCTCCAAAGTGACATTTAAATAAGTAAATTACTTAACCGGTTAACTAAACATTTATTATGATTCATTTAATTACGTTTGAAAAAAAAAATAGTTAGAATTTATTAAAAAAAAGTAAATACATGTAAATTTGAACTAAGATTTTAACTTCTTATCTGTATGTAGGCAATCCAAAATTTCAAAACGTAGTGGGGTTGCCTAAATAAATTATTTTACTCGGTTGCGCCATCTATCCAAGTAGGGCTGAACTAAACTAAAGCATCTTAATGTTGCAACCGATTTAAGTCAGCCCTACTTGGATAGTTGGCGCAACCAAGTAAAATAATTTATTTTCCTGTAAATTGTTTATATTTCATCGTTATATTTATGATATTTCATGTATAGTTTTAAGACGAACGTACGTTTTTACAACTAATGATTCTATAATTAATTAATTGATGTTATTGGGGAAATTATAAAATTGGCGAATGCGCCGGGATTAATTTTGTGAGCGTACACCAAAATTGGCGAATGCGCCAGGATTAATTTTCCTTTTAAATGTACAGGGTGTATAATGTTTAATATTAAATGTGACCTTAATTTTTTAAAATAATATTCTTAGCTGAATGTTTAAACATTAAAGTATAAACAAGAAATTAGCTGCTCCAAAGTGAAATTTAAATAAGTAAATTACTTAGCCGGTTAACTAAACATTTATTATGATTCATTTAATTACGTTTGAAAAGAAAAATAGTTAAGATTTATTTATTTAAAAAATTAAAGTACCTAAATACATGTATTTGAACTAAGATTTTAATTTATCATCTGTATGTAGGCAATCAAAAAATTCAAAACGTAGTAGGTTGCCTAAATAAATTATTTTACTCGGTTGCGCCATCTATCCAAGTAGGGCTGAACTAAACTAAAGCATCTTAGTGTTTCAACCGATTTAAGTCAGCCCTACTTGGATAGATGGCGCAACCAAGTAAAATAATTTATTTTTCTGTAAATTTTTTATATTTCATCGTAACATTTATGATATTTTATGTATAGTTTTAAGACAAACATACGTTTTTACAACTAATGATTCTATAATTAATTAAATAATTGGGGAAATTTATAAAATTGGCGAATGCGCCGGGATTAATTTTCCTTTTAAATGTACAGGGTGTATAATGTTTAATATTAAATGTGACCTTAATTTATTAAAATAATATTCTTAGCTGAATGTTTAAACATTAAAGTATAATCAAACAAGAAATTAGCTGCTCCAAAGTGAAATTTAAATAAGTAAATTACTTAACCGGTTAACTAAACATTTATTATGATTCATTTAATTACGTTTGAAAAGAAAAATAGTTAGGATTAATTAAAAAAAGTAAATACATGTATTTTAACTAAGATTTTAACTTATCATATGTATGTAGGCAATCAAAAATTCACAACGTAGTGGGGTTGCCTAAATAAATTATTTTACTCGGTTGCGCCATCTATCCAAGTAGGGCTGACTTAAATCGGTTAAAACACTAAGATGCTTTAGTTTAGTTCAGCCCTACTTGGATAGATGGCGCAACCGAGTAAAATAATTTATTTAGGCAACCCCACTACGTTGTGAATTTTCGATTGCCTACATACATATGATAAGTTAAAATCTTAGTTAAAATACATGTATTTACTTTTTTTAATTAATCCTAACTATTTTTCTTTTCAAACGTAATTAAATGAATCATAATAAATGTTTAGTTAACCGGTTAAGTAATTTACTTATTTAAATGTCACTTTGGAGCAGCTAATTTCTTGTTTGATTATACTTTAATGTTTAAACATTCAGCTAAGAATATAATTTAAAAAAATTAAGGTCACATTTAATATAATGTGTATTTAAAAGGAAAATTAATCCTGGCGCATTCGCCAATTTTGGTGTAAGTTTACAAAATTAATCCCGGCGCATTCGCCAATTTTATAAATTTCCCCAATATCACCAATTAATTAATTATATGAATCATTAGTTGTAAAAACGTATCTTCGTCTTAAAACTATATACGAAATATCATAAATATTACGATGAAATGTAAATAATTTACAGATAAATAAATTATTTTACTTGGTTGCGCCATCTATCCAAGTAGGGCTGACTTAAATCGGTTAAAACAATTATTTACATTTCATCGTAATATTTATGATATTTCGTATATAGTTTTAAGACGAAGATACGTTTTTACAACTAATGATTCCTATAATTAATTAATTGGTGATATTGGGGAAATTTATAAAATTGGCGAATGCGCCGGGATCAATTTTGTAAACTTACACCAAAATTGGCGAATGCGCCAGGATTAATTTTCCTTTTAAATACACATTATATTAAATGTGACCTTAATTTTTTTAAATTATATTCTTAGCTGAATGTTTAAACATTAAAGTATAATCAAACAAGAAATTAGCTGCTCCAAAGTGACATTTAAATAAGTAAATTACTTAACCGGTTAACTAAACATTTATTATGATTCATTTAATTACGTTTGAAAAGAAAAATAGTTAGGATTTATTAAAAAAAAGTAAATACATGTATTTTAACTTATCATATGTATGTAGGCAATCCAAAAATTCACAACGTAGTGGGGTTGCCTAAATAAATTATTTTACTCGGTTGCGCCATCTATCCAAGTAGGGCTGAACTAAACTAAAGCATCTTAGTGTTTCAACCGATTTAAGTCAGCCCTACTTGGATAGATGGCGCAACCAAGTAAAATAATTTATTTTTCTGTAAATTATTTACATTTTATCGTAATATTTATGATATTTCGTATATAGTTTTAAGACGAAGATACGTTTTTACAACTAATGATTCCTATAGTTAATTAATTGGTGATATTGGGAAAATTTATAAAATTGGCGAATTCGCCGGGATTAATTTTGTAAACTTACACCAAAATTGGCGAATGCGCCAGGATTAATTTTTCTTTTAAATACACATTATATTAAATGTGACCTTAATTTTTTTAAATAATATTCTTAGCTGAATGTTTAAACATTAAAGTATAATCAAACAAGAAATTAGCTGCTCCAAAGTGACATTTAAATAAGTAAATTACTTAACCGGTTAACTAAACATTTATTATGATTCATTTAATTACGTTTGAAAAGAAAAATAGTTAGGATTTATTAAAAAAAAGTAAATACATGTATATTAACTAAGATTTTAACTTATCATATGTATGTAGGCAATCCAAAAATTCACAACGTAGTGGGGTTGCCTAAATAAATTATTTTACTCGGTTGCGCCATCTATCCAAGTAGGGCTGAACTAAACTAAAGCATCTTAGTGTTTCAACCGATTTAAGTCAGCCCTACTTGGATAGATGGCGCAACCAAGTAAAATAATTTATTTTTCTGTAAATTATTTACATTTTATCGTAATATTTATGATATTTCGTATATAGTTTTAAGACGAAGATACGTTTTTACAACTAATGATTCCTATAGTTAATTAATTGGTGATATTGGGAAAATTTATAAAATTGGCGAATTCGCCGGGATTAATTTTGTAAACTTACACCAAAATTGGCGAATGCGCCAGGATTAATTTTTCTTTTAAATACACATTATATTAAATGTGACCTTAATTTTTTTAAATAATATTCTTAGCTGAATGTTTAAACATTAAAGTATAATCAAACAAGAAATTAGCTGCTCCAAAGTGACATTTAAATAAGTAAATTACTTAACCGGTTAACTAAACATTTATTATGGTTCATTTAATTACGTTTGAAAAGAAAAATAGTTAGGATTTATTAAAAAAAAGTAAATACATGTAAATTTGAACTAAGATTTTAACTTCTTATCTGTATGTAGGCAATCCAAAATTTCAAAACGTAGTGGGGTTGCCTAAATAAATTATTTTACTCGGTTGCGCCATCTATCCCAGTAGGGCTGAACTAAACTAAAGCATCTTAATGTTGCAACTGATTTAAGTCAGCCCTACTTGGATAGATGGCGCAACCAAGTAAAATAATTTATTTTCCTTTAAATTATTTATATTTCATCGTAATATTTATGATACTTCATGTATTGTTTTAAGACGAACATACGTTTTTACAACTAATGATTCTATAATTAATTAATTGGTGATATTGGGGAAATTTATAAAATTGGCGAATGCGTCGGGATTAATTTTGTAAACGTACACCAAAATTGGCGAATGCGCCAGGATTAATTTTTCTTTTAAATATACAGGGTGTTCTCAAAGTTGAGACATTAATTTTTACAGGTAATAAAATAAGTATTTTTTTTACTTACCTCTGAGGTGCTGGTCGCTCCAGAACTTAAAGCTGGAGACATTGCAGATCCAGGAATATCGAAGCTGGGATGTTGAGATCCAATGGGAATATTGTAAGGTTGCGAGTGCGATGTAAAGTTAATGTTGCCATGGTGATTTGGTTGTAAATTATTTGGATTGATTGTGCCAATGTTACTTGTTACTGGCGCACTATGAGTTTGTCCATAGGCCGACAACTCGAGGCCAGGATGGAAGTTTTCGTTCCCTGGTTGTTGAAAGGAATCACTTAGATATTGTTTAACTTGACTTTTTTGTTTTTGGATTACGTGGTATTTCGTTGGATTTTCTAGTCTTGTTTGAACTTCCAATACTTTCGGTGGCACCATCGATAGGTTTTGGATTGGAACTTTAATGCTTGGTGCCATTATTGGCTGATACTGTTGCTGTTTTTTCACATCCCTTTGCTGCTGCTGTCTTTGCTGTTCTAAAATCGCATGATCTCTCATTAATTGCTGTTTTAATTGGGTTCGGTATAAAAGATTTGTTGTTGTTTTCAAATTTGGAGTACTAAAATTAAAAAAGAATAATAACGTTATAGTTATTTAACTTCGCGAAGATTTATACATTTTTCACCGGCATTCTTCATCGTGTTATTAGGTAAAAAGTGATTACCTACAACAAATGAAAAATACTTTTTGTCAATAACCAACATGGAAATTATATAAATAAGACACATATAATTTGTGTGTACATGTAGGTATATGAAATGTATATAGAAAATTTAATTCAAGGCCTGATGATAAGTGAAATACTTTCGGTATGTAATGGGTATTAAATATAAACTTTTCATAATTTATTAAATCCAATTAATCAGTCATATTTAAGGGGCAACAAAAATAGCAAGGCAACACATTAAGTTTATAATCATCGCGTTATTATAATACTCATTTTCCATGCCGTATATATGTATGTTTTATCGTAAGCAAAATTAATTCCCGATGAGTCAAAGTGTTTATCATAAACCACACGAAAAATGTATATACCTACAAAAACATCATAATGTTAATAAATTTAATAAAAATCTGAATTTCAATTCAATTCACTAAATTCATAATAAATTGAACGAAATTAAATATTTACAAGGTAGAAATACCATAGCTATAGATATACATATCATATTACCAATTTATTAAATTTATATTTACATACGTACGTATATCTGTAATGTACAGATGCATTGTAAACCGGAAATGGAGATAAAAAATCACATGAGACTCCAAAAATATTAAAAGTAGCATAAGTGTTTAAACAATAAAAAGTGCACAAAACTTAAAAATAATGTTAATGCTATTAGTTTACGCAGAAATGTGTAGGTATGTTTAAAAACACATTTGGCAATTTTTCAATAAATTTATTTAATTTGAACTTGCGGCTATTTTTAGCTGCATTTCCAATGAAAAAAAATTGCTTGTTAATTTGCAACCTTTGTTAATTTTGCCATGCTTAAAATCTGGTCGGTTAATATATAAGCGTTAATGACTTATTCTTCATCTTACTTATAAGTATAGTTATTAGATAAGGGGTCAATGCAAACGACGCGTCGTTTGCCTGTTTATTATTTTTACATATAAATAAATAAATAAATAAATGGAATGGCGGCGTAGTTTCTTTGTTTTGTTTGGCGGGCGGTCGTAATATAAGCGGACAAAAGTTGTCCGGCGCGGCGCGAAAAAGCTTACAAGCGACTTGTCGTACGACGGGTTGTCAATTGGGCTCACCTTTCCGAAACAGGAATAGTTTTTGAAGTCAACTCGTAAAAGTCTTGGTGGTTTTTTGGCGTTTTAAGTAAATCCTCAAAATCAACAGCACTTTCAAGATCAAAGTCATCGGACATGAGCGCAGACAAGTCATATCCAACATCGATTCTTGCCTCAGCCATTTTAATCAATCACAGTTTATTCACAGCTTAATTTTTATTATTATTATTATTATTGCTATTGTTATTTATTGATCATCCTAAGTGACAGTCATTTTAAGTTGAGTTTTTTCTGACAGATAGAAATAGCATGTTGTCTGACCGTTAAGCGCGGCCCTAGAGCTGTTACTAGTGGCTAAAACGCGACTGATTTTTTTGCCAACAATGTCATGGGCAAAGTCGATTAGGAGTGCGCTTAAACAACTTTGAATTTCTGGTGGGAAATACGAATTCAAAACGTACGTTTCAACACACAAATTTTATAATGCAAACGTTTTCTTTATTTTCCTTATACTCAGCAATTTTCAACGACGACACCAATTAAACACTTATAAAACATTACTTGTTAATTGTTGTTACAATGTATCCCGGAAATTTTTTCTTGCTTTTTATTGTATTGGCAGTTCCATTTATATGTAATAATAGTAAAGGCCAACTTTTCGAACAAGATTTCGACAAATTGTGGCAACAATTTAAGGTACGTGTCTGTGAGTGTTTCTTAAGCAATTTGGTGGGAAAAAAATAGTGAAATTTAGTTTTCAGAAAATAACCAATATTTATATCACGAAATTAAGTTCGATAATCAGTTAGACAATCTGTGGGATGATTTTAAGGTACCTACGGCCTATACAAAAAAGTTTTTCCTGACTCACATTATCTTTACAATATAACCTACATACAGGGTGAGTCAGAAGAAAAATCGAACAAAGGGTGTTCCATTGGACATTTTAAAGTTACCCCCTGTTCTCCATATAAGGAGGAGAGTATGAGGACCAATTTTGGTACTGATTGATTTCCCGCCTAGAATCATTTAATTTTTATTTTAAACATTTTTCGTATGACTCACCCTGTATATAGGGTATCCTTCTAAGTATCTATGTATCGGTATTTTTTTATTTGAAGAGATACAAAGTCGGTTATATATATTGATATATGAAATATATAATAGAAAAAACTTGAGTTATTTCAAGCCTTTTAGCATGAAATTTATACATTGAAAAAAATAGCGCTAAACTAAAAATCTTTCAAAACCAAAATATCATTATAACTTTGTTATTCGAATAGGATCCTAAAAAATTATAAACAAGGAAGTTTTACATGTAAACATTAATCAACATTTTCATCCAATTTTTTTGCTACTATGTTTGGCCGCCATAACTTATGTACTTTGGGATACATCCTTGTGTAACTTGATTTTTTTTTAATTCCCAGGAATAACGAAGTTATAACAGGTTTTTAGTTTTTTTCAAATTATTTTTTAACCCCTGATTTTTTTTTCTATTTTTAAGTGCCACTTTAATAGACTTGTAATTACGCAACTTTTGTCTAATTTAACCAACCTTGTAGCTCTTCAAATAAAAAAGATATATAAAAGAATACTTGATGCACTCTGTATATCGACAAAGTAATATTTTAGGAAAAATTCAATAAATCCTACACAAGTTTTCATGACATTAGTAGAAGAGCAGCATGGGAGGATAACTTTAAAACAATTGACATACACAACAAGGAAGCAGAAAAGGGCCTCCATTCATATTTTATTAAAGAAAATCATTTAAGTGACTTGGTAGGTTCTACCCTTTAAAATACAAAGATATTTATTATTTATAATGCCTGTTTTAGTCTCCTCAAAGTTACTTGCAACAAATGGTGAAATTGACAAAAAGTTTTCATAGAAGAACACCGCAGGAAGACACAATGAGTTTTATAAAACATGGGGAAATCCCAGAAGAATTGAATTGGGTCGAAAAAGGTTTTGTTACTCCCATTTACAATCAAAAGGATTGTGGTTCTTGCTATGCATTTAGCATTGCTGGAGCTGTACAGGGACAAATATTCAAGCAGACCCACAAACTTGTACCTCTAAGGTTAGCTACACCATCTACCTTACAATTAATTACTCACTCACTATTCTAAATTACAGCGAGCAGCAAATTGTCGACTGCAGTGTAAAAAGTGGGAATTTCGGATGTGGTGGTGGTTCTTTAAGAAACACACTTAGATATTTGGAAAAAACCGGTGGATTGATGGCATACAGCGATTATCCCTACAAAGCCAAGGTGGGTGTTATAGCTACAAAATCACATGCAATTAATTCTGTAACTCTTTCAGCAACAAACCTGCCGATTTAATAGGTTCAAAACGATTGCAAACATTAGTTCCTGGGCTATATTACCCGCTAGAGATGAGAAGGCGATGGAAATGGCCGTTGCAAAAATTGGACCAATAGCTGCATCAATAAATGCCAGCCCTAGAACATTTCAGTTGTACCAGTAAGTTTTTAAAATTGTCTTTATTTATTATGGGTCTTACAGTGCCTACCAAAATGTTATTTTATTTTCACTTTGTTCTATCTAAGGGACCTAAGCGTCTAAAAATCAATTCTCCTCTAAAATTACGGTGTCAAAACCAGAACTTGAATCAACAGTATTTATACTTGAAAAAGGACAACTTTGGACAAAACAAAACGTGCTAAAAGTACTTGTGTGTTGTTTTCGTGTTGGGGAATATTTTTAATAGTATTTAAATTAAATTGAATGACAATGTTTTTCGTGTTGAATGTCCTGTAACTTTTTGAAACAATTATTATTTTTAGTAAGGGCGTCTATGATGACCCACTGTGCTCTTCCAACACTGTTAATCACGCGATGTTAATAGTTGGGTATACTAAAGACGCCTGGATTTTGAAAAACTGGTGGGGTAAGCACTGGGGAGAAAATGGATATATGCGTTTAAAACGCCATAAAAATAGATGTGGAGTGTCTAATTATGCAGCATACGCTGTGGTGTAATGGAAAATACATTTTTTGTTAGAGTTTTCGCTTTTCATTTAATTTTCTTTTCACCCAATTAATAAATAAATAAAACGAACAATAAACTGTTTTAATAGTTTTTATTTGAGATGACATTCAACAGCAGAAGAACAGTTTTTATTACAAATTTAAAAAATACTATATCTTAAAAATTCTATCAGATGTTAGGTAATCTAGTTTTAAAATGGATTAGGTACAGTAGAGGAGTTTTGACGCAATAATTAAAAGTAACATTATAAAATCACAAGTGTGTATTAATTAACATCATACACAATAATAATAAATACTGCTGACATGTATCATCAAATTTATTTAACAAGAGTTCTTGAAAATTCCACATAGCTTTCCATTAATAGCGGTTGAAATAAAATGTAAAAAACATTCTAGATATTTTAGCGCATTTTATCATCATCATCTTCAACATCATCATCGTTTAATAAACAAATCCATGCACATTGATTTCTAAAAATATTTAGCAATTTCGGCGGCCATAACAAAACTAAATTAAAATACGAGCGTAAAAAAACATTTTGGAAAAATAAATTAAAACTTATGAATATGAACATCCGAGATAAAAGGTAGGTAACTTAAAAAAGAAAAAATCAGATATACCTACATGTATATACATATTTAATTCAATAAAAAAGTTTGTTTGTACTCTTAAAATTTGCAAAAATACTAAAATTATAAATAAATAGCTACTAAAATAAATGAAAAAGTTTTATAAACTACAACATTGCACATATACAATTTACATCATCACAATTCGATTTAATTTATATATAATATGTAATATATATTTAATGTAAATATAAATATTTATAAAGATTTATTTATTATCTAGAATGCTTTTTGAATAAGCAAATAAAGAATCAGGTAGGTATTATTTAGGGCTGCACCAAGTGCCGAGTGGTTCTTATATTCATTATTCAGCCGAGTAAAGTAGAATATTAGAAACAAACATTTTAGACATGTCAAAAACAGTAAGAAATGAGACAATGAGTAAAATATCTATACTATATAATAATATATATATATTGTAGTATGGTGCACAAAGTATCTTTTATGGGTATTTTTTTTATTTAAAGAGCTACAAGATCAGTTAAATTACAGAAAAAGCCCATTAAGATTAAAAATTTTTAACAATCATAAAACAAAATCTACAAGGGTAACCAATTAAAATATTTCTCCGCATAGACTGAGTATGAGTATGAGAAAGGACCCCTTATATTCCTGTATATCTTTCTATAATAGATTTACAAAAAATATGAAAATAGTAAAAAGGTTCTTAAAACCACCAATTATAACTTTATAACTATATTTGTGATCTAGTTAAAAAAAATTTATAAATTGAATGGACCATAAAATTTATAAATTGAAAAAAAATCCTACATTTTTATCCAATTTCTTCGCTACCATGTTTTGTTTTTATAATGGCCGCCATAACTTATTTAGTTTAATACATCGTTAGATTCCCTGATTTTTTTCTACCTAACCATGTAAAATTCCAATATGGCAGCCATAGGAAAAAAAACGTGGTGGTATCAAAAACTAGTGGGCAAATTGGATTAAAATGTAAATAAAAGTGTAAGTTTAAATGTAAAACTTTTTTCAAAATTCACAGGAATAATGAAGTTTGATTTTGACAGGTTTTCAGTTTTTTTTTTAATTATTTGAGAACCGCAAACTTTTTTCATAATTTTTCACATTTGTCTAATTTAACCGACCTCTTGAAATTAAAAAAAATACCCATACATATAAGGATTCTTAGTGCACCCTGGGATATTGCCAATAGGATATTGTTTAGACCATTAAAAAACCAAAAATTCCATTACTTGGCACCTCTGTTTCAAGTTAAAAAGCAGGTCTCAGTGCAGCCCTAGTATTATTATACATTAATTATTATTATTATTATGCAGAATAACAAAAATATCTTAAGACGACAGATCACTAGAATAATTAATGAGGGGGGTTTAATCAACAAACCCCCACATAAAATGGTCACTGGTGCTTGCGCTACTACCATGGTACCGCATGGTAGCAATATAAAATGTTGTTTGTTGTTTTTGTTTGCACAGACTGAATAAATAACATTGGAAAATTTGAAATGATGGCAAGTGTTCAGATGCTAAAACACATCAAGCAATCTTCCTTTTCACTTGCTTGCTCACCAACATCTGTGCTAATTATTAAAAAAGATTAATTTGTTTTTGTTGGTGTTTTCAACCTTCTTCCTTCTTTAGTACACTATCACAGTCAATTTAAACCTGGTATGTAAATATTATTAATTTTATTCTTTAACAGTTTCATTCTCAATTCAAAACTTGGTGTCTACATCCGTCCGTAAATATAATTTGTTAGAGTTTTTTTTTTAATTATCACCATCACATTTTTTGTTTAATATGGGAATAAAAAGTCACAGCAGTTTAAATCACTATCACAAGACACGAAAGAAAATAGACACGGAAACGTAATTATGTGGCGTAGGAAGTGGAGGAGGTGGGAATGCACTGAAGATAGCCTCCACCTCCAGCATCAGCAGTACCAGCAGCATCATCCACTTCATAGTACTGATTGATCGGGTATCTGAGGACCGTGTTCAAAGAGTCGTTATGAATTTCCAGGGAATTGGTGGCGTAGTGCAGCACCAAATCCTTGAGGTCGGGATAAATGTTGTAGGGCTCGGTGAAGCCGTAGCCTCTGTTCGAGTGGTCGATGATGCAATGGTTGGTGGTGCCGTTGCAGGCGATCGACAGGGCGTATTTGCAGAGGCGCGAGGAGTAGCGGATTAGGAACGTGCCGTCCGGTTTGTTGGCCAGCATCTTTTCGGCGTCCGTTCGCGAGCAGTCCCGGATGAGCCACGTGTTCTCGTCGTTGTGCGGCAAGGAATCGACGTCGCACTCGATGTCGCCATCGTCCAAGTCCCCCTCTGCGCCCGCCTCGCCGTCCTTGCGATTCAGCAGCTGATTCAGCTTGGCGACGCTGATGCCCCGCTCCTGCAGCCATCGCATGTACTTGTCTCGCTTCTTCCGGTAGCTGTGGATCTCCGGCTTGATGTTCGTCAGCTCCCTCACCACCGACCTGTTGTAAGCCTCCATCCGTTGCACCTGGTTCTCCAGCTGATCGCACACTTCCTCCAACTTCTTCTGTCGCTCCTTCAGCACGTCGCTGTTCGACTTTAAATTCACTATTTCGTGCGGCTGCGCTTCGCTCTGGAACTTTTCCCTCACTTTCGTTTGCTCTTTAAACACCTTCACGATCTCCTTAAACGCCTCCAACGAGGTTTTCTTGTTCTGGATCTCGTACATGTTTTCCGCGTGCATTTTCGACCAGCACTCGAGCGACTTGTTTTTCGCAATCAAGTCGCGATTAATTTTTTTCAGCTCCTCTCTCAGTATCTCGATGTTTTCAGTCTTCGCAGATTCCTCTTCCATGTTGTGCCTGGATATCGGATTAACAAGTTTTATGTCGAGCGATGCGTTATACTGCGACAAAGAATGATGTCGAAAATGATTAATTAACTCTACAACCGAGGAAAATATGTATGGCTCGGTGAAACCGTATTTTCCATTTCTATGGCAAATTTTAATCAGCTTGTTGGCACCGCCTTTTCGCAATGTCAGCGTGTACTCGCCGCATTTGCTGGACGCGTCGCGGACCAAGTACGATCCGTCCGGACTCTCGTTCAGTACTTCGTTCACTTCTTCGCGCGTTATGTCGCCCCAATACCATTCGGCATCTTGCAGACTGATGGCGTTAATTTTTACTTGTTCCGGCATCTTCTCCACTGAGGGTTGCTGCTGCTGCTGAGCATTCGACGATATTGCCGGCTGCTGCTGTTGGCTCGAAGAGCTGTTGCGATGCGTCGTGGCCTTCCTTGGAGGTAGTACAGGGGCAGACGCAAACTCGGGCAGACTTTCTCCCCAATCACAGTAGAGCAACAAAAGTTCCACTATCCTATTGTGTGCTTGCGTGTTGCAGACTATTTGACTAAAAAATAAAATATTAAATATTCTGCAAGCATTTCTCTCATCACCGCTTTTGTTTAATTTCGTTCTGGATCCCATGCCAGCATCGACAGACGCGTTTCGTTCTGTGGAACTCATCAGTGCCGAGTTGCTATAGGCTCGAGACCCAAACGAAAACTTTAATTGATGAGTTCCACAGAACGAAACGCGTCTGTCGATGCTGGCATGGGATCCTGAACGAAATTAAACAAAAGCGGTGATAAGAGAAATGCTTGCAGAATATTTAATATATATATCTAGCGAGTTTGTCGCAAAGTATTAATATTTTTAATACGATAACTATAAAAAATAAAAAAGACAAGAATTTTTTTTTGGGGTACGTGCTACTACTTACATTATATGCTCCCACGGGGGTCGAAGAAATATATGACACATTACTTGGATTAATACTGTGGGCGGGCTTTTGTTTCCTCTGGCGTACTCCATTTGGCACATCCTGCATAGATGGCTCATGATGAAACGAAGTGTAGTTTTGTGGTGTTCGGGCAGCTCTTCGACCAGTTGCCTAAGTATCGACGAGCAAGCTTCGTCGTTTTTCTCTTTTGAGGCCATAATGAATTTGTCGTACCACGAGACCGGTATCAGGGGATCGGGCAGTTCCCTGAGATATTTTTTGAAAATGCTAGCTATGCAAACAGGGCTGTATTCGGAAAGATCAACATTCAATGGCGACTCTTTGATTTTTTCCAGCAACGTTGTCACTTGGTCCGAGGGCGGCGTGGAACTGTACAAATTGTACAATTCCAATGTTTTGTCGTTTTTAGCGGTGAGCTCTAGTTCCTTGGTACAGTTAATTAAAAGTTCAGGCGCGGGATATTCATTGGGATTAAATTGCAAGCAAAGGCCCTGTCCAAAGTACGATTTGAACTGTATAAAATGTGCTCTGTCCTCTCCGGGAGGCGTGGTGCAGGACGGCAATCCCGTCACTGCACACGTCCGATGTGCAACCAAACCACAATTTTGGCATATGAAACCTTGGTGCAGCAAACCTCTTAAGTATTTGTTACATTTATCACATGTTTCCATTTTACTAAAACTGTGTTGAGTAAGTTTGTGTGCATATTGATCAAAATTATTATCGCTGTCGCTACCCATTTGCTCGTTGCTCATTTTGTTATTATCTGGTTTTTTAATAAGTTCATCTATACAAGATAACAAAGCTTTTTGATGAAATTCATCCTTAATTCCCATATTCTAAAACACAAAAACATTCAAATTATTAATTTAACGTTACTTCATTTTCGACTCAAACTTAAACTTACAATCAGTTTTTCCCTGTCCAAATTTATTAAATCGGATCCTTTTATGTCTTTACACCGGAAAACATCCGAGTAAACGTATAAATTTAGGGCTGCCATCCATTCTACTACATTGGACGACGTCCACTCAGATATGGGCTACAAGATATCATTATTATTAATTTTCTAGCAAATACTAATTTTCTAGGAGCTTCTTAGATTAATTAATAAATGGTTTGGAGTGAAACCTATGGGTTAATAGGTCGATTTTTTTTATTACATTTATGATACAAATTGAATAATTTTTACCTCGATATTTCGTTCAGTTCGCTAAGGTAGATAAACAGTGATGCCAGTGATGAGCAAGTGACTAGTAGTTGGGGATATGATGGGATATTAAAAGGGCATTATAATACAAATGTAATATGTTGGCATATTAGTATTGTGGTAGTGTGTATAAAGGTAAGATTGCCATGGGGCGATCTGGCGCGTATGGATTGGTGTAAATGGAATGGAAGCGGCAACGGTGTATCCGTAGCCAAGTAATAGAGAGAATACGGTCAGAGTGCTGCATAGCAACAAGCAAGCAGGCAAGCAAGCAAGCCAGCAGGCAGGCAACGCGACTCAACCGGAGGGCTGCCATTGGCTCGACCCGCACCTATCACATTCGACTATATATTAAATCGAGAGTATGGAGTAGGTACTTTGTGGACATGTACCTATTGCACGTCTGCACTACTGCACAACTCATCATCGCAATGCCAAAAGTCGTTTTTCATTATTTTCTATTTCAACGGACGAACGGTCCTAGCCCTAAACCTAGCCCTAGCCCCCATATTGCCAGACTTGATTGAAAGTGTACAAAAAGAAAACTATGACATACATTAATATAATACGTGCTGCAAAATTGCATATTGTTTTATTTTCTTGTTTGCAATACAAAATACTAAACGAGACTATAATATTTATATTTAGATTTAGAGGAAATTAGAATAACAATAATTTTTTCACGACTTATGTACTGTGACACTTATATTTGTAAATGCATGCACGGAAAAAATAAGCAGGTAACAACTAAAATAATATTATTCTCATTAGAAAATATGCAGGTACATATATACGTATAATCTAATAAAATAAGTAAGTCTTACATAATTATACGTATTTTTCTTCATTAGTATTTGAGCTGGGTACGGCAAAATACCTTCATTCAAAAGCAGTGTATATTATGATTATATCAATCCATTTACCTACATAATTTATTTAAACCATGATCGTACTACCGTGCCACGGTATACCTACATATATGTTGGTAAGTAAAAATATGTTGTATAAAAAATGGAAAATGAAAACAAAAGAAATATTGTGGTCTGCGCGGCGCGGTGCGATTTATAGTCGTGTGTGACCCTGTGCATGCATAACGTCAATTTCATAATTATATTAACAAGTTTGGCGCCTTGAAGCATGAAAAATTCAATCATAAAAATGAACACATTGTAAATATAAAGAGTCAAAGTAATAATTGTAGTCGACTAGGCAATTGTGCAATAATACCTGTTGCACGAAGATTTATAAATACTTATTTTAATTAATGTTTATTAGTACAGCTTTTTCCCTTGTATTCCCTGTATTTTTAATAGCACTTAAACTGGATATAAAACACTTATTTACGTATGTATGTTAAAAATTGTTTAGCTGTCATTTTATAAGTACAATTTACCGGATGCCCCGAAATGCCCAAGTTGCACTAAATAGTGTTACACAAACGATTTTTTTTTGCATATCTGCATTTCCAATCCTATCACAATCCACTAGTAAATAAAAAAAAAATATATATATATATATATTGTAGATATGTAAATCTTAACCCCATATCACTCATTTCTACTAACATAAAGACTATTGGGGGTCAAAAACAACTAGATAAAAAAAATTGATTTTAAGATTTTTTTATTATCATCTGGCCAAAAATAATGGTAATTATTAATTAAAGGATAATTAAAAAAAAATTGGTATAGATTTTTTTAATATTATTTTTTTTTAATTAGGCCAATGTGACACAACTTATATTATAGATAGGAGATCGGTGAGCGTTTTAGCTAAAATTTTTAGCTAAAACATGTACAGTGTATGATACACAAACGGTATGCTGATGCGCATGTTGTGACGTAATGTGCACACCAAAATCTGCAAAATCACGTTATATTCCCAAATATATAAATATATGGACGTTTTGCTTAAAGTTCAAGCCTTAAACAAAGAAGCACCTGAAATGGAAGCTTATGTACATATGTACATATATTAAATAAAGTCTAACCTATGTTATTGCTGGCCAACAAAGAAAAACCCAACGGAAAACACCCGTGCATATGCAAAACGTTTGAGTTTTCGATTCACAACCAGCATACCCATGATACAAAGAAATCATGCAGCATACCGGTGTTTGGGTATCGTGGTATAGTGGAGCAGCAAAAAATAAAACGTCGGGGTCACGTCGGACCCCACGATTGTAGTTACGGGTTAATCATCAAATTGTTCAAATGTTCCAATCAAATTTCATCAGAGTTGGAGTCAATTAAAAAAATTGCCGTTTGGATCATTTGACCTATATCATTATATAATAGGGGTTACATATGGTTATAATAAGTACGTAACTTTAATTCTCCCACCTTTTTATTCAAATATCCGTACCTACATAGTGTATGTACGAGCAGGTATATTTACCTATATTCAACAAAATGAAATTCAACAATAGAAAATATTGAGTTAGTAGAAGGGTAAACAATTTGCCATTCAAATTAACTGTCCATTATTGTTTTTGATGCCTTTAGGAATTTGCATTTTTCTATTTAGTGATTCATTTGTAGATATACGAGAATATGTAGGTACATTAGGGTGATTCGTTTTAAAAGAACATTTTTTTGTTCACTTCAACATCAAAATATTGGAATACAACTTTGACATACAAACATATTTTGCTGTTGGAGTGAACAAAAAATTAAATAAATTTAATATTTTTCTTACAGTTGTAGGTAAAGCAGAATGAAACAAAAACTGCCGGGTTTTAAAACAATCTAATAAGCATTAAAAACAAAATATTAAGTTTAGCAGATTTAGCATTAAACTGAAAAAATACATAAGTATGAATCTGTGTGTGTCGTTTATACTTGTATGTTTGGTTTATTTAATAATAACATGATAACTTCTTTTAACAAAGTAAGTAAGTAATTAAGTAAAAAGTTCGATAGATAAGTAAGTTATCTATGCGCCGTGTAGTCAGAAAAGTTCGACCTTTCTGTTTAGTTTATCGTTTAGCTCATATTTTTATCCTTATAAGGATAGGCAGTATACTACCCAGTTTGCACGTTTCGTTTCTTTTTATTTATATTTAGATTGAGATAATACAGACGAAAGGCGATAAAGCAACTAATCGCACAAAAGTAAAAAATACCAAACTATTAAACCCTGTGGGTAGGTTGTTTTGGGGTGAGTTATCAAGGTGGCTGCTAATAGTGGAACGAAAGGAAGGACCTGTTTACATTAAATAATAAATAATCATTAACTTAAGTATACGCACCACAGATATAGGAGAATGTTGTATACGACTATTTAGTTGGTAAAAATATTTTTACACAAGTCCCTTATAGGTAATTACTATATATATTTTAAACATTTTAAATAGAAGCTTAAATACATATGATTTGTTAAGACATATTTTAAGAAATAGAAAAAAAAACACATACGTTTTTACGTTTAACTTAGCGTATCACAAAACCGCAGATATGGTATTGCTCCAGTTTGTGTACATTATCATGGTTTTAAGATAGGTTAGGTTTATCTAAATCCTGCTTTTAATTACTTATATATTTGCACAGTGATAAGATATCAAATCAATTGAAACATACACCTAATCTAATGCATGTGTATGCAATAAGCACCATTTCCGGAAATAAAATAGGTACTTTTTAATAAAAAAATTGTCTTATAAGTCCGCACTAAATACCAATTAGGTAATTTATTATGAATTTATAAAAGTTATATTTTAGGAAAAAAATGGCCACAATCCAGATAATTTTATAATTAAAAATAACTTTTCAGTGTCGAAGTTTTATAAAAGGGATGCAAATTTAAAAATGCTAAAAATAAAAAATTAACATTTTATTGGCTTTGATTAAATTGAAACGATATAGGTACATCAATATGACGTACATGGAGCTTGATATCAGTTTTAGTAAAGCCTTGACCTCTCTATAAAAGATTTGACCTTCAAAATTATTTTATATGCATAATCTTACGACTTCACTTAATACATCTAATCTATCTACAATTATCTGTTAAAACGATAAACGTTACAAACCAAATATAATATCCAAATCCTTTGTCCTTAAGGAGCTCTCCACTTTATTAGCAAAAAATGTTGATGTCAAGATAAAATGTAGGAAGCATAGAGAGAAATTTAAATTTGGGTGCGTTCATTTCATAAATAAATGTAGATATTATGCTCTAATTTGGCCATCATTGCAAATACTAGAATAACTACAAGTGTTTAAAAGTTATCTTTTTTGAGAGCATCAGCATAAAATAATAATATAAACACACCTTCTCTGACAACATTGTAACAATGTAACAACTACCTATACCTATATGTAAGACATTAAGATTTATATATGTAGGAATATAAGTAAATTTTTGATTACAGTAGTATTTAAGATTTTGACCTTGAAAACAAGAATGTTGTATAGCCGGTTAAATTTGTTATATGGGATATCTCATCTGCGGAAATATTTTTAAACCCTTGGCCCTAAACTTATCCCGTGGGTAGTTATGTACACGTCATCAGAAATCTAGCTTTTAGTATTACATAAACATTCAAATGTGAGGTATAGGTATTTCTAGCGCCATATTAAAGTGGAATTCGATTTTGAAGAAATTTACAGGTTATTTAGTAACCACGCATTAAATATTCCTTATTGCAGACATGTTTTGTAATCGGTTAGAATTTTTCAAATAAACGCCTGGCTAGCAGACAAGTTGTAATAAAATAATTTAATAATTTGCATTATCTTATAGATAGTTATGTGTTCGAGTCAATTCCTTGGCGCTACTTTAACATTTAAAATATATTAAAGTTGTCACGTGTTTAAATGCCTACTTGTACTTGTACGTTTAATTGCGTTGTTCATGCTTTAAGTAGTTATACATATTTCAGTGATAGGTGGCTGGCTGGCTGGCTAGCTTGCATGCTAAGTTATTCCCTTAAACAATTGTTTTCAGCATTTTAGCAAATAGGATAGGATCGGAGTTTTGTTGTTGTTAGGTAGGAAAATACAGAAGGGGAAAGGAAAAGAAAGCGAAGAGGGGGTAGCGAAGAGATGAGGAAAGAAAGAATGGCGAGTGCCGGTTGGCGTTGTTCCCGTGTGCGGGTATCGTATCGATTTTAAGCTCGGCGCTGCTCTAGCAACCAGCACAGGATAATGCAGGACTCGATATACCCGAGGCTCTATGGCAAAACAGCAGGATGGTGGAGTGAAAGGGAAAAGGAAGAAAGAACGAGAAAGCTCAAGTCGTCAAATTGTCTTTGTCTCTGCTACAGCTGTTAAATGACAGGATCGTACCCTATGTACTGTCATTATGTTTGTATGGTTATGGTTAAGTGGTCATTTTTGTTTATTTTCTAACTAATATAAAAATGCTTACCTTATCGTATTCCAATGTAACTGGTGGAAGAACGTCATTGTTTTTCTGACATGGATGATTCGACAAATATCGGGCGCAAAAATTGTGGAAGCATGCATGACAATCTGAAGAGCAAAATGTACCGCAATTACAGCAACAAGATAATTCACAAGAACACATTAGACTGTGGAACGAGAGAATACGGGCACAATATTGGTCATTGGCTAAATCTTCATCGAGCAGAGTACCTAACGTGGTCGTGTCGTAATCGAAGGTTCTTGTTTTAGTCCAAAAGGTTCTTAAGTCTTCCATGCTCAGAGGAGCATGCTGCTGCTGCTGCTGCTGATGGGTAACATGGGCAATCGGCGGCCGGTTTATACCGCGCAGCATGTAGTTTTCGGCATCGTGAAAAACTATGGGCATCGTAGATGATGATAACATCTTCGATGATTCAGCTGCTGCCGCTGCCGCCGCCGCCGCCGCAGCTTTTGCTACCACCCGTCTGTACAATTCATCTTTATTATTTGATGTGGATTCGCACTCACCAGACTCCTGGTTTTCCGTTTCGTGCACGCTCATATTGTCATATTAGCTTTGATAGAATTAAATTGAATAGGTATCTCAAAACAGTATTCATCTATCGGACAGCAGCAGGTTCTGGGTCCGTCGTCAATCACTAGCTATTTTCACTTGGTTAACTTGCATTTATTTATCCTTATAGTTCGTTCCGAACAGCTTAATAACTATTATCACTAGCGTCCAAGTGTATTTTTGTCGTTTGTATTGGATACATGGGTAATAATATTTAGCAGCACCGGGTCGCAACGAGTCTGCTGCTGCTACTGCTGCTGCTGCTGCTCACGGGCGCACAGAGACGGTAGACGGAGACACTGAAACGTCACTTCACTTCCACGAAAGTTGACCGTTCGTCGCCGACCGAGCGACGCTGCGCGGGCACACCGCACGATCGGTGTCGTTCCAGGACTACGCACTTTTTCTCATCGTTTCCTTTCTTGCGGCCATTTCTCCATTTCACAACGATACACTTAATATCTCTTTGTATCAAACTTACTCACATCTTCAGCCTAGTCCAAATGTATGTACGTGTGCCAAATAATTCAAATAAACAAAATGGATATTTGGAACACCACCGATCGCATCAGTTCACATCCTAGCGCATAGTGTGTAGCTACCGTATATCAAGATCCAGCTGTTTCCTACCTACTTCTAAATTTACAACCCCCAGTTAAGAGGCTCTTCTAAGCAGCGTCGCAATGGGCAGGCTAGCGCGCGTCCACCCTAATTTAATTAAAAACCGACAGAACGGTGGTAAACGCTTAATGACCTTGATGAACACGCTGCTGCTGTCGCGGCCACGTTGCCACGTTGACGCGCGTCCCAGCCTGTCATGGCCAATCGTCAAGGTGATCAAATGATTATTTAAAATTACTGCTGCTTTGCCTGTCTACTTCTACTACCAGGCTTCTTTATTATTTTTACAACTTCTCTGTACTTTTTTAATAATTATTTTAACTGATATTCTGCTCGATGAATCATTCTTATATTTGCACCTACTTATTTACATACAATTATTTTTAAAAGTTGAATGAATAAAATGATAGGTATATAATAATATTATAAAGCTCCTTAATATAAACACTTTTTAAGAAACAGGTATGTCAAAATTAATTTTTCTCTAACTGTAGTCAGAGAAAATTATGAAAAAGACACAAGTACAGAAAATTTTGAAAAACCTTCGTAATAGAATTCAAAATATTTAACACTTTTTGAGTAACAGCCTTTTCTGTATTTCTCTCTCCACTAGTCTAATATATAAAAAATAACTCTTAGTAATATTACCCAAAGTTAATTACTAATAAACAAGAAATATTAAACTTACCTTTGCATTTAACCCCAACAGATCCCTGCCCCCAAATATAGTCGTCGCCTTTAAAAGAAAGACAAAGTTAATTTTCTACTCATTTATCATAATAAATATTTAAAAATATATATGTATATGATTAAATAAAACTTACAATGCTTGCATAAAATTGGTGTTAAAAAGTACACATCAATCAACCTATGTTGGGGCCTTATTTCTGGATCTAAAATATATTAAACAGAGTTTAATAAAACATAGGTTACAAACATATTTTTAACAGACCTTTTACATTTAAAGATGAAAATGGGGCTTCAATAGCTGTTGGATGATGTATAATACTATTATTTAATAGATCTTGTTGAATTAATTTTAGACAATCCACTAAAATAGATTAATTTCCATTAAAATTATTATTAAGTGATATATTTTAGGATATTTACCTGGCACATATCCTTCTGCGTGGGTCCTCAAATTTTTGGCGTGGAGTCTTCCACGAAGCCTATCAGCAGTTGAATTTGAAAAGAAATTTTGCACAGGAGTTTTAAATACATCATCCTTAGAAAATTCTATGAACAATTTATCATCCGGTGATGGCTTAAATGACTGAGTAGCCTTATAATATACATAGTCCCCCATTTCAAACCAGCATCAAATGCTAAGGGAAAAGTACATTTTCTCTGCATAACTACTATTTCAAACTGGTGTGATACAATTTTGTCTATTACAAATAAACTATGGTACATTTCTATTATTCCATTTTTAGTATATCTTTTTCTTAAACGTCCAAAAACATAAATAAGTCATATTGTAAAAAGTAGGCTTTTTAAACACGATAAACTATTTTTTATGGTCTTCTAGGCCTCAGCCTCACCAACTTGTATTAAGTTACATTTGTTGTGACAGCCACATAAACACTAAATAAACCACTGGTTATTTTCACGTTTTTTCGGAAATTTTTGCTAAAAATAGCTTTTATTTATAATGTTTCTGTAAGTTTAACCACTAACTACAAACAAAACAAAGCAGCTCAAAGGGTGCAACAATGGCGTCCAAAATTATCACCAATTATTACTAAATATAGAAACGTCAATAGATACCAACATAACAAATCCATATGAACCTTTAAAAACAAAATCTTTCATATTTCTAGGATATACATAGAAAAAACAAAAATTTTACGTAAAAAACATTTTCTTATAATTATACTGCGAGGTTATTTATATTATATATATATATTATTTAATTTATCTAACGGGTGAAAATTTTGGTTGGCAACATTAGTTTTTGTGATACCAACAATATAAATAAAAAACCCAAATATTTGACAGAAAGCAACCTTTATTATTATGCCAGTTCGTGCACAGATACAGAAACCTGTATTAAAATAAACAAAACCCACTTTTTCAAAATTTGGGTTGTAAAAGCAGAATCTCTGGCAAAAGTCGGACATATGTAACTGCCAAAGCAAGTTCTTTTTACGATTTGGAATTCTATTTGTGTATTTTTACACAGTATTATGTTTGAAGGTAGGTACTTATATTTAAACTTGTCGGTTTTTTAGCCAAGCAGTTTAACTCGCTTTGTTTTATTTTAAATGTTAAATATTAGCCCAAATATTGAGTTTTAATCAGTGGCGTATCATAAATCTGGTAGGGGCCCTTGTACGGGAAAAGCTGCTGGCAAAAAAATTTCTGGGTATCAATATTACTTTTTGTTTAAATTTTTAAGGGTTAGTATTTTTTATTCTTAAATTTTCTTTTAATTCTACTAGATCCTGTACCAACTCTTTTTGTAAGATGCCTATTTTTCATGACCAATAGATGTTGGTATACCAACATGACCAATATATTGGTCATGAACTATTATAATAGTTATTATATATATTAATATCAGTATTTTAAATTTTTTAAGAATGTACAATATTCAAATTTATGAAATTTTACTTTGTATACAGTTTGTAATTAACACTTTTACTTAAAAAATATTTTAAAAATCGTATTTTTGCACATAACAGTATAAATTTATTTTAAAACTTAACCAATTCTTAAAAATTTTAATATTTGTTGACAATTATTGTAATTTAGTATTTTATTAAGAACTATAAACTTGGTTATAATAATTTTACTGTTTCTACTATTTTTTGTTATAACATGACCTGTTTATCATTTCTACATGTTTCGCTATTTTGCTAATTATAGTAAAATAAAAAAATAAAGAAAAATTTAAAAACCGGCCCTAATATGTCAAAATCAACTTGCGGGTGTTATGATTGCCATGTTTCCCTCATTTAACACATATTCTTTTTCTATGCTTTATAGTCTGTGACAGAAAGAATAGAAAAAAACCCTAAAGGAAAAGAATATATTAAATATTATAACATAACACTTATAAAATTTGACAATAATAATAATAATAGTAGTAATACTAAGAAAATGTATGAGTATTGAAGAAATTTGGAGTTTTGCCCTCCTTGACAATTCTCAAAGCTCTTAACACTGATGCCTTATCCAATTCAGATTGGGATGGTTTCTCATTATCCAAACAAATATATTTTGATCTGTCACCAAAATACTCCAAAACTTTAATCCTATAGTCTACAGAGGTGGCTACATTGTTGCCAGTTAGTACAAGGTTTTCTAAATTTGGTAAATCTCCTATATAAGACAGTTCTTCCACATCTGTTATTTTATTTGAATTTAGATCTAAGCTTTCCAGTGAGTAAAGTTTAGTAAAACCTTTTAGGGTAACAATGCTGTTTTGGGATAAGTTTAAATAGAGAATATTACCAACTTTTGTGTGTAGCTGGTTACATATGGTTATTAAATTACTTGACACACTTAAATGTGATAAATTTGACATATTTGATAAATTGCTGATGGTAGATATTTTATTTTCATTTAAAATCAATTTTTTCAGTTTTGGACATAGAGTTATTGTTTTGTCAATTTCTGTGATGTTATTCTTGCTAAAATCAATTTCTACCAATTCAGACCAAATTTGGCTGTCTTCAATGGTGTCCTTATGTATTACATCACATTGAAGTATATTTGAAATGTTTGTGGTGTTTGTAGTCCAGACAAAAAAATGTTTTAGTGTGGTTCTTATATTGCCTAGTGAATAAATCATATCAAAAGATACATTTTTGCAATGTAGACTTTTTAATGCCTAAAACAAAAAATAAAATAAAAATTAACTACTACTACTTAAAAGTTAACTTACTTTAAATGAAGATAACTCAAAAGGAAGTTTATTTAATATTATATTGCTGCTTAAGTAGTTTGCAGAAGAACCATTTATTTGGAGTATGTTAAGCTGAGAGCATAGATCCAAAACATGGCTCAAATCAAATCTGGAGTCATTATTTTCAATGTTTGGAAATGGATTTTTCTTAAATTCGCTTACAGCATGTAACTAAAGATACTTCAATAATTAGTTAAAGTTAAATTAAGCAGAAAAATCAAGTACCTGAATGGGGGTAAATGAATAGCTCTTTGCAGAATCTAAAATAAGTTCTGCCTCATTAAAAAATGTCTCTGCCATATTTTGCAAAAGAAAAAATATGTCATACTGATGGAAATCCAAAAATATCACAAACGACTTTGGCATTGTTTTCTTCAAGTAATGTAAAATACTTCTTAGATATTTTTCCAGTCCTAATCTTCTGCTTTCAATAAATATTGGGCATTTATTTCGAATTACTTTTTTAGATGGTAATATGTCTTTCGAAACCCCATGTTCAACAACTAAATAATTATGCAACTCGTAAAAATCATTGTAGCGCCGAAGAACTGTCCAATTTATCTCTCCTACTGTTACTTTAACATTATAATAAGTTACATTTGATATTTCTTCCACACCTGCTATATCTATCACAGTTTCTATACTTTCTTTCCAAAAACAAGACATTTTGCTGCCTAAAACTTTTTAGTTTAATACAATTAATAATTCATAAAATTAACACTTAAGTACTTACTTAATTCTCCTGAAGTGACATTTTTTAAACTTGCTGTCAAGAATGTTCTTGATAATTTGTTTAATATCAATTTAAATTTCCTGTCAAAGTAACATAACCCCAAAACAAAATACAATTATTAGAGATGGGAATCGGAAAGTTTCCATTTTAAGGAAACTTTCCGTTTTGGAAAGTTTCCAATTGGGAATTTATTTTCATTTTGAAAGTTTCTTTTAAGCTACCGGAAACATTCCTTGGAAACATTCCTTGTAAACTTTCCTTGTTTTTTTCATTTATAAATTTCAATTGTTTAACAGCTGATTTTCGTTAAGGCCATGATACAAAGCCAAGAAACTTTGAATAAGAATTTAATGTGTGTTAATTTAAAGCAGAAGAAGTATAAATAATCAAAGAACAAGGTGTTCTTTGATAAATGAAGCCGGATTATTCAGCATCATCACAAACAATTTTTTTAAAAAAAGGTAAACAAAATAAAAACAATAAACAAAGTTAAAATCATTCTTACATTTTTGTTGTTTATTTATAGGCATAGCACAATGCCAAGAAAAAAATCTAGTGTTTGGAATTATTTTTTACTTTACTTTTTACTTTTCAATATTCCTATATATTAGTTACTTTGTCCCTTTTAATTTTTTTTACGTAATATCTAGGATTTACTAGCAGTGAATTTCTAGTAGCAAACATTTTATTTTTATTTTGTAGGTTTCAGTATACAATAGGAATATTCCAAAGTAAAAGATACTAAAAATAGTATTGCAGTTACGTTCTTATAAACATTTTTAAAAAAATTTTTCTTAATAAAATTTGATAAAAAGTTAATGTGTTATAATATATATATTATATTTTTGCAAATCCCTGGCATAAAAAAAATATTTTCGCAATAAAAAATTTTTTTTTGAAACTTTCGGAAAACTTCGGGAATTTTCGATGGAAAGTTTCCGGGAATTTTCGTCAAATGGGAATTTTCCCATCTCTAACAATTATAGTGTTCTCCAGAGACCTCAGCAGTGTTGCCACTGTTAGTAGTTTTGTACCATATCTAGATCTAGTCCTAAAATTGATTTTTTAGTACGTTATTACGCTTTGCTAGTACTTTTTATAGTTAACCAACAAACAAAATTGGTTTAAACCAAAAATGTGAGGTTTAAACGGAATTAAAACCAAAATAATTTTTAATCATTTTGGCAACAATGCAAACAACTGACTGACTTCATGTCAGTGACATGTTAGTAAAATTGCCCACAGATGGCAGCATAAAAAATGTGCAATCACACTTCTTTGAATATTGAAAAAATCCCTCAAATGGACTTCTCGGTTTTTTAACTAAATTTCGTTAAACATCTTTAGTGTTGGTTAAATTATAAAACAGCCTTTTATAAATATATACCATTTTTCTTGTTTTTAGCCCCAAATTTTCGTTGTAACAGTGTTTACATAAAAAACAAACATTTGTTTTACAATAATAATTGTATACGTCAGTAACAGTGTAAAGACAATATAAAATATTTCGTGTGGGTAATTGTCGTATAAAACTGCAATCGATAAAATAATATTAAACGCTGTGGCTCCCGTCCCGAGGCGGGACTTAAGTTCAGTCCCGATTGACGTCATAATTTTAAGATTTGTTATGTTATAATAAAATATTAATAATAATAAATTGTACCTGTATACATGTTAAGGGCACTTTAGTTACGTCATAAAACCAAACCAACCCAAACTCAACAACACAACCCAACCGACCCCGCCCCATTGGGCCCCCCCCCCGCCCCATTGAGCAAAAAACCCAACTAAAATGGGCAAATTTATGTTACGATAAAAATAAAACACTTTTTAACAAAGAAACAACAAATTTATAAAATAAAAAAAATAAAAAAAGTTTGACAACTTCTAGTGGGATCGAACCCGGTACCTCTCGCATGCCAAGCGACCGCCCTACCATCTAAGCCATCGAGCTTGACACAAATTATAAAATCTCGGGGAATAAAAACGGATTTACAGTGTGTGACGTCAATCGGGACTGAACTTAAGTCCCGCCTCGGGACGGGAGCCACAGCGAATATTAAAATAGTATAACACTATAAAGTTTTTGTAGGTATAATCGTGTCATCTTCGACAGAGCCACCGCGCATGCCCGGCCGGCGATTCGCTTTTGTCACTTTGGCAGCCATAATAGCAAAACGACCGGTAATTTGACATGCTAGGCGTCCTTTTAATAAAATGAGTATATTATTGCAGTTTTTTGTCTTTCAGTGCGATATTTTAGTGCGTGAGTGACCTTTTTTTTTGTCTGGAGATGCAATAACAACGATGGTGACAGGGAAAGGGCTTTAAAGGTAAAAATAGTGATTTTGCTTGTTTGAGTTGCTTTTTAATGTTTTTTTTTGTTACATGTAGGTCCAGTACGGGATTGATTAACTAGGCAATCAGCAACAAAGTAGTAAGTAATATTTAATTATTTTTTAGTAATGAGCATTTTTAAGTGATTTTATGTTTTACTTACATAGGTACACTCAGATAAAGAAAATCTTGTCAACATAAAAATAATTGTTTTAAATATTTAATAAATTTAACAAACACAACATAATATTTAAATGAACATTTTAAATTGCTTAAAATAAGATATTTTAAATTGTTTAAAAATTTTTTCCTATGCTATCTACGAGGCTCTCTATTTTTAATGCTTTATATTTTCAAAATTCTGTATATTAGAAGATTTAGGGTTTTTCATTGAAACTTAGATATTCTTTGGGATACCTTCTTAGAAAGAAACATTGCCATCATCAATCCCTGGTGTTATTTTTCCTATGCTATCTATTTTAAATGTTTTATATTTTCAAAATTCTGGATATTGAAAGATTTAGGGTTTTTCATTGAAAATTGGATATTCTTTGGGATACCTTCTTAGAAAGAAACATTGCCATCATCCATCCCTCATGTTAATTTTCCTATGCTATCTATTTTAAATGTTTTATCTTTTCAAAATTCTGGATATTGAAAGATTTAGGGCTTTTTATTAAACATTAGAAATTCTTTAGGATGTCTTCTTAGAAAGAAACATTGTCATCATCCATCCCTCATGTTAATTTTCCTATGCTATCTATTTTAAATGTTTTATCTTTTCAAAATTTTGGATATTAAAAGATTTAGGGCTTTTTATTAAAATTTAGATTTTTTTTGGGATGCCTTCTTAGGAAGAAACATTCCCATCATCCATTCCTCATGTTAATTTTCCTATGCTATCTATTTTAAATGTTTTATCTTTTAAAAATTCTGGATATTGAAAGATTTAGGGCTTTTTATTGAAATTTAGATTTTCTTTGGGATGCCTTTTTAGAAAGAAACATTCCCATCATCCATTCCTCATGTTAATTTTCCTATGCTATCTATTTTAAATGTTTTATCTTTACAAAATTCTGGATATTGAAAGATTTAGGGCTTTTTATTAAACATTAGAAATTCTTTAGGATGTCTTCTTAGAAAGAAACATTGTCATCATCCATCCCTCATGTTAATTTTCCTATGCTATCTATTTTAAATGTTTTATCTTTTCAAAATTCTGGATATTGAAAGATTTAGGGCTTTTTATTAAACATTAGAAATTCTTTAGGATGTCTTCTTAGAAAGAAACATTGTCATCATCCATCCCTCATGTTAATTTTCCTATGCTATCTATTTTAAATGTTTTATCTTTTCAAAATTTTGGATATTGAAAGATTTAGGGCTTTTTATTAAAATTTAGATTTTCTTTGGGATGCCTTCTTAGGAAGAAACATTCCCATCATCCATTCCTCATGTTAATTTTCCTATGCTATCTATTTTAAATGTTTTATCTTTTCAAAATTCTGGATATTGAAAGATTTAGGGCTTTTTATTGAAATTTAGATTTTCTTTGGGATGCCTTTTTAGGAAGAAACATTCCCATCATCCATTCCTCATGTTAATTTTCCTATGCTATCTATTTTAAATGTTTTATCTTTACAAAATTCTGGATATTGAAAGATTTGGGCTTTTCATTGAAAATTGGATATTCTTTAGGGTGCCTTCTTAGGAAGAAACATTCCCATCATCCATTCCTCATGTTATTTTTCCTATGCTATCTATTTGAAATGTTTTATATTTTTAAACTTCTGGATATTAGAAGATTTAGGATTTTAAAATCCATATAAAATTTTTCAAGTAAAACTCTAAAAACTTTTTAAATGTTGCATGTAAAATTTTTAGTAAAATTCGTTATGACACATTTTTATGAATATCTAGAATCGCATGGAAGTCGCCTATTAACATGTATATATTTTCTAAAACTATACAAAATAACCTTAAATTTGATGTATAATTTATTAAAATTCCTTAAAAAATAAAGAAGTTATCGGACCTGGTGCACAATCGAATTTTTTTTTAATGTGTTTTTAGAGCGATTCCAGAGGATAGACACATCGTCCAAGAACCGATCCACATCCTTTTGGTGGGAATCAAGGACAAGGGGGACTCGGACGACTCCACCATGTCCAAACAGTTTGGCAAATTCTGCCTGAAACACGGAGGAACTCCTGCAACGCGGCATCAGGAGAATCACCTTCTCCGCCTTGAAGCACAAGCAGGACGACTTCACCGAAGACAAAATCTACAGGCACTTGGAACCCGCCAGCGCGTTCCAGTTGGAACTGAGCCGCATGATGAGGACCTACAACTTGGAAGCGCTCCCGACCGCCAACCAGAAGATGCACTTGTACCTCGGAAAAGCCAAGGTAAGTGATTTTTTCGACATACTTTGCTGTATATTTAGAAACCCATGGAAGTCGCCTACCATGTGTATTAGTTAAGCCTTCTTTTGACGTATAAATTATTAAAATCGGAGCAAAAATAAAAAAGATACAAGACCTGGTGCTAAATTTTTGAATCTGTAGGTCGCGCCCGGAAAATAAATGACCAACCACCATGGATCCCGCCAAAATCGAGGAGGCGGTGAGTTGGAAGTTTAACTTTAATTTGTTGTATAATTTTTTTCAAAAATTACACCACCTCAAACTTTAACAATTTTTTTTTCTTAAGGTAACAAACATGGTTTTGCGTTATGGTCCACGATTGTGGAAACTAGGAGTTCTGCAGCCCGAAATCAAGT